GGGCGAGCCGCCTGCTCCGTGCTCTGGGGTTTTGCCGTCCTGGACGCATTCAAAAACCTTCTGTTCTGCGTCGGAGGAACAGGATGCAGGGGAACAGGAGGACACTGCGCTCTTTTACGTGGCAGACAGATGTCAAACGCCTCGCCTTCCTTCTTCTGGAGGTCGCGCCTCTGTCTCATCGCTGCAACGCTGGGCCGAACAATCCACTCGAATCCACAGGAGCGTCGAGAAAATCGTATTTCTCCCTGTCCCCGACACTCGATAGATTTAGTCACAGCGACCTCTCGCCCGCAACGGCAAGAGCCATGGTCTTCATCAGCTTTGCACCACGCCCCGTGAGGTGTGCAGATTGAGATCCGTTATGTTGCCGATCTCCTCCCAGACCACCGGGTTTGGATTGCCGGCATCCAGCTGAGTGCCCAGCTCTTCCAACAACTTGGCTTGATAGGCCGTCAACAACGAAGTGACGTTAAGTGCCCGCACCGTCAATGCGGAGGATTTATAATTTTTTTGGTACATGGAAGCGGTGAAGCGTTCCATTTTCCCAGGGAGGGAGGGACTAGCAGATAAGAGAGTGGTTCGCCTGTTTTGATGGAGGTGGTGAGCCACTGACTGCTCGACCGAGGGAGTGTTAGAGAGCCCAAGCCCTTCCATTTCACTCACATCGAGCGACGAGTATCCCTTGACGGGCACACGATGAGAAAAGGGTTTGTCCCACGATCGCTTCATCTATGCTACACACGCCAGCAAAGCAGGAAGCAGTTGTTTCGCCGGTGGAAGGCAAGAAGGAAGCCTTTTCCCATCATAGATGTCACGTTTAACTCCCGGATCCCCAGGATTTACGGGCCAAGCGATGCCAAGCTTAGCTGCTGCACGCTTACAAACTTCCACTAGGTCACAAGCTACCACCGTCGATGCCACGTCGCCGCTTTGCATGCTCACTGGCCTAGATGCTTGTGCTGCAGACAGGATAGCGTCATCCTCCTCATCATCCGGCTCATCTCGGAGGAGGCGAGCTAATATCTCCTCATCCTCCTCCTCCTCATCTCTCTCCACATCGCCTTCCGCAAGCAGCTGCTGGTCGAAAAGCGGCATAAACTCAGGATACTCTGAATCCATAATATTCCCCCACGAAGAAAGATTCCGTGGGGGAGAGGGTTGGACCACCTTTGTCGAAGGAGGGACAGAAGATAGAACCGTATTGTCTTTAGAAGAATGCAGCCACCCGAAGCCTTCTTTCCAAGATCCTGGCTGGCATTACACGACAGTGCGTGCAACTTTCCACATCCGCCAGCGCGGCCTGAGTGTGCTTAACACTCATGCACGCGATACACATTGGATGCGAATCCCTGCCCGAGATCATAAATCCACAAGCTGCCGGACACGAGCGCGAAGGGACATCCTTCCCTTTCTCCGCTGCGACCTTGGACCCCGACATGGTGAGTAGAATAATCTTAGCTCGCCTTAACGCTTGTTAGCTAGAAAAAACTCAGTAACGAGCAGAGAATCCACAGCTGATTTTAACTGCACTGCGTTCTGCAACGGCCACCTTGACGGTATGTTTGTGAACTGAAGCACCGCAGAACAGGTGCTGAAGGAAAGTCTTCAAGGGGAAGAGAACAGTAATGACGTTTTCGGAGATCACAGCCATATATATAGGGAGGAGGTGGGCTCCTTGTCATGAGCTGTGATTGGTCCATCCTTCGGACAGACGTGGTGTAATTGGTGCTTCCGTAGTCTATCACGCCTGGGGTGTTTCCCATAGTGAGATACCCAGCGATTTTTTGAAAGAGAACCCAGAATTAAATTTAAAACACTTCAGCTATCAAAGCAAAAGGGGGGAATGGCACTGCCTTGCTTGCGAGATTACTATTATGCTGCCCAGATTAGACCTTTAGTGTGTTTATGTAATCCGGTATATCAATCTAGATGGAAGAAAATAGAAAGTGTCATACCTCAAGGTGTCCCAGTTCAGGCAGCATTGGGAGATGCTGGACTGATAATTATATTACTAACTATAGATAATACTTGGTTAAATGTATCCTTAAACGTTTGGAAGTAGTGAAATTAGGCAATTTGAAAGATTCCATGGTATTGCTGCGCTGGTGTGCGCTATGACACTGAGTTTGTTCCCAACAAAAGAGATAACAGGTTTAAAAAGATGGACGGCTAAAGGCTTAACTGCCTATTGGATATTTATGAATAAGGGGAAACTACAGAGCTTTCAGATGCTTAAAGTAAATCATGACTACAGAACCAAGACTTTTATAGGTATCTCCAATTGCGTCATTATTTAGAGCATGCTATAGGAAAAGTATTAAGTAAAGTTGAAGTAGAAAATGGGTTACTAAAAGTTTATTTAAAAATTTAGATTTCTGTAAAAATGTCATCTCAAAGTTGTATAGTAGGCTACAACAAGTTAAGCGGGTAGACACATTATATATAAAGGAGAGATGGGAGCGGGAAGGCAACCTGAGTATTTCGGTAGAGGAGTGGGAAAGAGTATGCGAGTCACAATGGATAACTCTTTGTTCTGAAGTTATTGTTAAGAGTCAAATTCCCTTCAGTTTTGAGATGATGTACCTGGGTTTGAGTTCCAGTGATTTTCCAAGTTCAGAATCCTAACGATAGCAAGAAAGAATGCAATTACAAGAAAGTGGCTACAACCAACTCCACCAACTCTTGAAGACTGGGTGTACATAGTACATGATATTTTTTTCAATGGAGAAGCTAACCTATGCTTTAAGACTCAAGTCTCAGTTGTTTTCAGTACTATGGAGAGATTGGATTGAGTATATATCCCATGTACAATCAGATTTTGTTTAATTGAATAAAATAAAGACAGTTTGCGGGGAGTTTGTTTGGTGTTGGTTGGGTGGGTGTACTTATTGCAATTATTATTATTTTTACTTATTTATTTTTTATTTATTAAATTTTTTTGCATTTTATTATTGTTTTCATACAGGGAATGTATAAGACTCATCTATGTCAAATGTATAACATATATTCCTTTTGCTTCAAGTGTTCAATACTTTAATGTATAATAATAATAATAATAATAATGTGTAATAATATCTTTTTTGTTGTGTGATTATTTAAAAGTGATAAATTGATAATGTTTGTATTTCCCTATTGTGAATGAATAAATTAATAAAAATAAAGTTTAAAAAATGGTAAACTATACAATTCTGTTCAAAAGTGTGGGATCAGTTAGATTTTTTTTTTCTTCCCCAAAAAGGCATTCAATAAAAATTGACTAGTGACTTTTCATTGTTGCAAACTTTCACTTCTAATAAATGCTGTTCTTTTGAACTTTCTATTAATCAAATAATCCAGGGGGAAATAAATAATCATGATTTCCACAAAAATATTAAGCAGTACAACTCTTTGAACATTGATATTAAGAAATGTTTATTGAACACCAAATCAACATATTTCTAATATACAGAGTAATATTAGAGTAATGGCTGCTGAAAATTCAACTTCGCTTCACAGGAATAAATTACATTTTAAAATATGTTAATAGTAAATTGTAATAGTTCACAATATTACAAATTTTTATCTGGATTTTGATTAAATAAATGCAACCTTTGTGAACACAAGAGCCTTCTTTAAAAAACAGTCAGTATAGTTTACATATACATATACATACACATACAGTGCTTAACTTAGACTACCAGCACCCAAAACAGCATTGGTGATTACCAAAATTATTATTATTTTTTCTATAATGGTTAAACCACCAGTATTTGTAAGCTGTTTAGTCACAATAGTGTTTCTAATGCTAAAATATTATTGTTGTTATCTATACATTTTTGAATTTACTGCTAACCTGAATTTATAAGTAAAACTAATCTGCCAAAAGCACCAAAAGTTGGTTAAATGAGCATGGTGTTGGTGTGTTTGACTGGCCAGCAAACTCACCAGACCTGAACCATTGTTGCACACTCTTTATTTGTCAAGATGAAAATGAGAAACAAGAGAACAAAAAATGCAGATGAGCTGAAGGCCACTGTCAAAGAAACCTGGGCTTCCATACCACCTCAGCAGTGCCACAAACTGATCACCTCCATACCATGCTGAATTGAGGCAGTAATTAAAGCAAAAGGAGCCCCTACCAAGTATTGAGTACATGTACAGTAAATGAACATACTTTCCAGAAGGCCAACAATTCCCTTATTTTTTTTATTGGTCTTATGAAGTATTCTAATTTGTTGAGATAGTGAATTGGTGGGTTTCTGTTAAATGTGAGCCAAAATCATCACAATTAAAAGAACCAAAGACTTAAACTACTTCAGTCTGTGTGCACTGTATTTATTTAATACACGAGTTTCACAATTTGAGTTGAATTACTGAAATAAATGAATAAAATAAAATAAAATAAACTTTTCCACGACATTCTAATTTATTGAAATGCACCTGTATATGCATTTATGTTTCCCCCACACCACGAAGCAAAACCTAGAAGCTCTGAAATTAGCTTTGTATTCTGTACACAATTTTCTCTCTCTCTTGATCTCAGAGTGAAATATGACCTAGATCGGTTTCACAGAGATTCACAAATGAATGTGAAAAAAACTGCCCAAATATGTTGTGATTTTATATAATTCAATACTTTAGAAGATAATAACAACAGGTCTGTTTATCCAGTCTTCGTCTGTCCTATTTCTACTGTATTGGTTTGGTGTTCCAAATATTTTCTCTGGGCCAAATGATACACATGTAGAACATGGATATCTCTGACTGTTTTCTGCCCAAGTACAAATATTAACAGAATGTGTTTTCCATAGCATTCCCTAGCACAATCTGACTGATACAACCGTTTGAAAACAAGCCAGCGTTTGGAAAAAATCAGCCGGAACGCTGCTGCACTTCTCCACTGATTTGATTATCTGGAATTAATGACAAACACAATCTCCGGCTTTGGCGCGCGCGCACACACACACACACACACACACACACACACACACACACAGACAGTGTCACTGTAGAGGCATTACCGTTAGATCTTAACGCTCTCTGTTCCGTACACGTTGTATCCTTCTCGGTATGTGGCAAAGTTTTGGGTGTTGGCTGGCGGGGCTGGCTTATAGGTTTGGGTGTTCTTTTCAAGTTTCAACCGTTTGGCTTCTGCACGTGACTTGTAACAGAACTCTATCAAAGCCACCATCATGGCCAGCCCTAGTCCACCAACCAGAATATAGAAGACACCAGCAACATTGCTCAGGCTCAGTGCACTTGTCTTGTCCTAAGAGAAGCGAGGGACATAGTTAGCATATCTTACAGTGGCAATCCTGACACAAAACACACTATACAGTACAACTCCTCACATGTTCTATCAAGCAGCACTACTGGCTATAAATGACATTTCTACTGCTACCAGAGGAATCTAGATTCCAATGGAGAGATTAAGCCAAAATATCCATCTGTGTCTAGACGTCTAGCTCAATGTCATTTAAAGACAAATTAGTCAATTAGGACCATAACTGGTGAATGTAGATGTTTTCTCTAACCTGCTCTTCTCATTGGCTTCTTCATGTATCTGAGGAAGCTGGTCAGTTACGTACAGGTCAGACCTCTGACTTAATAACCTTACTTTAAACAACTGCCTTTCCATCCTTTAACCTTCAAATTCATATTTTGACATATTTTCTACACCAGAGTACTGAATTTAAGAATCAGAATGAACCATTCTGCTGCAGTTTACCCCCCAAACTTGTCCATTAAAAATTTGTCCATTAGTATTACACTATTTGCCGTTTTTAGCGAGCTCGTTTTACACTGCTGCATTTTTACCGTTCAGTTCTGTCTGTTACTACAAACAAACTATCGCCTTCACGTCACTAGTCGACCTTCGCTCGTCTAATGAAACTTATGTCAAAACTGTTTGTCATGATGAGAAATGACGTTCGTGGAGGTTCAATAAACGAACGGGCCTTTTTTCTTGTGGAAAAGACAAATAAGTAACAACACTAATACATCAAATTTTAAATTCGAAGTTTGGTGAGTAAGAACTGCAGCATAATGGTTATTGAGTCAAGTGAAAATAAGCAAGAAAGACAATTGGTATACAGGAATGAATCTAATCAGACGATCAATTTGCACTTTTAACTAATTCCCCATTAGATTTATCATTACGGCTTTATTTGAGGGCATTCACTGGAAGAAATACTGAAAAAAACAACAACAACAGAAAGATATGTCTCATAAGTACCCCTTAGCTGATCATTGGAAATGATGGGGAATCGTGCAAAACTCTAGGCCACGCATCCTTATGGTTTCCTTATATGTGGCCGTAAGTCATTAAATCTACTACACATGGGTTAAATCAAGATATTGACTATTGGTTTGTTCCTTGCATATGAACAATATGTCAAAATGCAGTTTTTGGAATCAGTACAAAAGACCTGCAGCGACTGACCTTACTTCCCGAGTCCTTGGTTCCACATTCACCCTTATCGTACCACCATTTGTTTTTCAGCTTGGCTAAGATGCCTTGTTCACTGAGTTTCAATACTGCAAGGTTTACAGGAGTTCTTCACGTGGGAAATAACATAAATAACATTATATTATGTTATTTTATGTTATTCAAGTCTTAACTACTTCATACTTTACAAAGCGATAAAGCAGGGCTCCTGGCCATTATCAACACACATGTGGCAGGCATTCTGACTAGTACCTTCCATTCACCAGGGCTAAGCTAGTGTGCCAGGACCTACCCGTATCGCTTTGAGTAATCGGCATACACTGTTAAGAGAAGAACAGGCAGGTTTCTGCGTGGCTATAAAAGCAGAGAAGCGTCTTGGTTAATTTGAGCATCTGAGAATGTGGATCTCCACTGGAACCCTCGACTGACTGACAGACCAACGGAAATTACCAGTAGTATTTTGCTCAGGCTGAGGAGAGCTGGCGTTAGGACTCTGTGAACGGATTACAGGCGGAGAGTACAGAGAAACCAAACAGGCAAACACACTTACAAAAGTAAACAAGACCGTATACAGATGAGTCAAAGCATTTGCAAAGTAAAACTGTGTTACCTGGGTGCCAGAGTTAACCGAACCGGTGCCTAGCCATGCTACGTCAGAGGCTAGTCTTGCTAATCAGTAGCTGCGGGGACTATAAATGACATTAGCATTAGCGGCTAACAAAACATTAACGTCAACATGAAATTAAAATTGATCCTATTTATTTTCTTAATACACATGCATGCCTTATTATGCACAGTTTTCCAAATAAAACCAGCATATGCTGGTTAGGTATGTTTTGAAGCATGGCTGCTGGTTTGAGCTGGTTTAAGCTGGTCCTGAGCAGGAGCTAGTTGCTTTTGACCAGCTCATGAACAGCTAAGGACCAGCTTAAACCAGCTCAAACCAGCAGCCATGCTTCAAAACATACCTAACCAGCATATGCTG